ATATACGGCTCTGCCCAAGCACGCAATATCTATAATGTGCTAGGTTGCACTAGAAGTCAGAGGTGTACCGACAGCGTCGGTCTCTCCATAGGAGCTGGGTATTGTGTGGCCTAATTCTGCCACCGCAGGGGGCTGGGATGGCGCTAGCAGTTACAGCTCAGCCAAGAGCCCGGTCGGCCAGCGTTTAGCGTGGATGGCTTGGGGCGAGTTCGTATGACAATTTCTTCTTGTTTTGCATTGTGCGTGAAGCCATACAATATCGTGTTGGCTGCTAGCAGTGCCAAAAGAGACAAGGGACTCACCACGATGTCAAATATTGCAAAGAAAAAAATGAAAGCCGTTTACAATTCCCTGTAACGCCGGATTAGAGCACAGCTCTTCAGGAGGAGGAGGATGGAAGCATACTGAGGGATAGATGACTCCTTGGGGTCACGTGACCTGAGGGGGGGTAGTTTGACGTCAGGGTGTAACGTGACCTCGGGGGAGAGGGTCACGTGACCTCGGGGAGGAATCATGTGACTTCAGGGGGATCACGTGACCTCAGGGAGGTCATGTGGCCTAAGGGGGTCACGTAACCTCAGGGTTCACCTGACTTGAAGGGGGTCACGTGACCTCAGGGGGGTCACGTGACCTCGGAGGGGGGGGGTCATGTCCAAGGAGGTTAGAAGTACTAGGAGAGGGCACGTTGCAATATTGGTGAAGCCTAGTCATAAAAAGTTTAAACGATGTTGTGGCCAACGTGACATTAGATCTCTTTGACGATTGGTGCGCGTGACATGTCACGTGTGAGATGGATGGTTGATCGTAGAAGGACTCCTTACAGGCTTGCGCTCGCTCCGTCCGGTAGGTTTTATCAGATCGAAAGCTAGACTGTGGTGTATTCTAGTACGCCATAGCTAGACGAAGGCTAGCTACGGTCACGTGATGTGGTCATGTTGGCGTGGTAAGTGAGGAGAGCAAGGAGGAAAATGAGAAAGAGGCGAGGCGTCAAGGGAGCATGGCTTGTGGAGGCCACACGGCTGGCGTCATGCCCTCTCCTACGCTTCTATCCTCCTTGGTCACGTCGCCTCCGGGGGGTCACGTGACCTCGGGAGGGGGTCACATGACCTCGCGGTTACGCCGACGGCGACGCCGACGCCGCTCAAGCCGGAAACGGGCCCCCTAAGAGCTGCGCTCTAAAAGACAGAGCGGTTGTGTTTTGTGCCGGAGTACAACGAGGGTTGCGAAACGTGCAAAGAGAAACGCTCGTCGTATCGGACGCCGAGCGACGGCTCTCTCTGTTCGCGGAATGGGATAGTCTGATTATAATAAATATTTCTACGGCGTCACACGATTGCGCTTCCGTCTGAAGGAAAAGCAAACCTGATCCAGACGGAAAATAGAAGTCTAAAACAGGTGTTTGACCCATGTGTCATATCAGAAGAAACACATATTTATCCGAATGGGATTACTCTTTAATAAAGGTAGCAGTTGAAGTTGCACCATTTTTCTTGCCAGTCTTGGTATCTATTTTCATATAGTACATGCTCACTAGATGATGTCAATTCAGACATTTCCTGGACTATAAGGTTTGACTGAGAATGCAAAAGTCAAGAAACAGCTAGGCGATTTCTTCAAACCATGTTGCACAAAAAAGTTGTATTGACAACAGAACAAAATCTTTAAGCTTATCGAATGAATGTCTATATATACTGATATGTTTTGAGAGAGGGAGTTAGGGGATGAACCCCCCCCCCCCCCACCCCCTTTGCGTGGGCTTTATGATCATTTAACCTTAATCGAGAGCCGTCTATTTATGGCGCACGTACTGCTTCCCTCAAGTCTCACATGTCTGAAAGCATAAAAATTACTGGTGTCGCGATTAAAGCTACCATAAAGTTTGTAAGCAAAGCTGGAATTTATCCCTTTTTTTTTTTGCGGTTCTAGACGTCACGTGTTGACAGACCCCACGTCTTGCCTTTCCCCATAGGTTACTCCCAATGGTCTCGGCAAAAATTATCTTGGACTTGAAGGGATCGTCCGGTAAAATTTTCATTTTCAGAAAACATATAAATTGTATTGTCATTCCTTTTAGGAATATCGTGCGCACAATATCCGAATACTTAGTCCTCCGCCGCACAAGTAATTAATTTGTAAACAGAGCCCAACTGCTCAGATTGCACCTGCAAAACACAGAGCGTTTTCGTTGGCCACAGCGGAAGCTCGGAGGTAACGTCAAGCAAAAAGCTTCAGCTTTTGACTGCTCTCTGAGTAAAATAACCTCGCTCTAAGAAAGACAAGATTTACGGTATGGAGGAAAGCTGAATTTTTCGACGATGATCTTTGTACACGCCATCAACGATGTTGATCAAAACCGGGAATAAGTCGACGCCCGCGACTCCGACGTCATCATGCCTGATGTGACATCACACACGACCAGCCATGCATAATTGCCAAATTCGGCGTGAAGTTTTCTATTGATGTTCTTAACTGATATAACAAATATTAGGGTGTCTTTTGAGGAAGTAAATATCACATATGACTATATTTAGGGACACTCTGCGTGACCAGCGCAAAAACTTAATATCTTCCCTATATCACCGGGCAATCCATTTAAAGGAGCTGTGCAACGACTTTAACGTTGAAAGAATTTGTATTTTGTGCTTTCGAGATTGTTTTTCTTGTTACAGGAGTCAAAAAACACAAAAAGTCAAAAACAAAGGAACGGAGCGCTCTGCGGGAGCGAAACCAGGCGTATATTTTTAGCAAGCGTTTTAGAAACGACCGTTTTTTTTGTGTGTGCCTAGTCACTTAGTTAAGTAGGACTAATTACCGAACATTTTAGTTGTTTGTTTAAGGGCCGAGGTGTTCATTAGAAAGTTGTAAAGCGAATTAAGAATACCTCAAATAAGGTGTTCGCTACATGATACGCTCTGCATGCTTCATTTATTAGCCTGAAAAAAAAAGCTAGCAAAATATTTAAAAAAGATCACGTGACAACTCGCTCGCGCGTCCCGCTTGCAGCGCTCTTAGACGTGCTCAGAACGAACGCAGTCCACCTTATCGTGGCCTCCGAGAACTTTCCCGTGCTCTGCTCCGGCTTGTTCAAACGCTCGGCTGCCCAGCAGAAAAACGTTATCCGAACCAGAGGCCAGATTCACGAAGAGCTTCTTACCCCCGAATTCATAGATGTGACTTGCTCTGAAGTCGAGCTTCAACTTGCTCAAGTCCGTCTTGCGACGAGCAAGCGCGCTTCATAAACGAGCCTTAACTTGAACCGATCTTGAACGGAGCTTGAAGCGAACTTGAAGTGCCCAAATTTCAAGACTGGGTTGGACCTATCTTGAACGCGACTTCGTAGTCATTTCAACATGGCGGCTTGCTGGTGTGATGTCGCATATGGGATCGCCGCGTTCAATATTTGCGTCCTGCAATTGCGGTGTTGTCCTCGGTCACGGGTATTTTTCGCCGAGAGAAGCGGCCATTCCTCCGTGATCGAATGCACCCCACCGGGATGTGCGACAACGAACGGCAACGGCGCGGGAGCTGCTCGGCCGCGACTTGACCGCCTGATCCGAACGGCGACAACAGGCGGCTGCCGCTGATACCCAAGCTACAGTTGCTCGTCACGCTGCGACGTTTGCTGGCAGGATGCTTCTAGCTGTCAACATTTCACAACGGACGGCGCGCGGTGCAATCGGGGGAGTGACGCGTCTCACCGTAAGGCATCTGTCGCTCGGACTCGTCCACTTCCCCGGCGCTCCCGAAATTCTCCGCCTCCTTCGAGTAACCGGGTTCACGCACGCGTGTATCAAAAGCCCGGGTCCCGGTGGCGATTATGCAGACATTTATGAGAACTTAAGAGCAGTTGCCTGCATAAACTACCCAGGTAGGTTCTTCCGTTTACCGAAAATAAACAAGCCTCCAGAGCTTCTGGCGCAAAGAACCTGAGCAAGCATGTGCGGTGTGCACGCACGTTTACTGATGCAAGCTCTTGACCTAACGTTCTCTGTGTGCATACTAGCAGTTGTTAAAACAAAATCGCCGAAAAAAGACAGGGACACAGACAAAGGGAAACAGGACAAGGCGCCTTGTCCTGTTTCCCTTCGTCTGTGTCCCTTCATTTATTCGGCGCTTTTTGTTTGCAATGAACCAACTGGCCCAAATCTCCACTTTATTGTAGTAGCTATTCCCACTTTTGTGTTGTTTGTGCTGGATTACTTGTTTAAAAAATGACGTGTAGTATGAACTTGCCCCTTGCGTCAGTAAAATAAATATGGAAAATCAGGAATGCCTTCTAGTTTGGTACTGCCATGCCTTTCAAGTTCTCTCTGAATGGTCAAATGGCTGCTTAGAACAAGATTGGTCATATATAGCTGCTGAAAACTCACTCTGATTCCCCCCCCCCCCCCCCCCCCCATGTACAGATTCTACATTTTACAGATGCCAAACACTTCACCAATTTTTTGTTCCAACAAGTTTTGACGTGTTTTATTACTGTATTTGTGCACTAGCTGTTCACCACAAAACATACTTCTCGAATTACATCTTACATGAAGTTTGTCGAAGAAGGGCTTTGCTGAAAGAAAGCATACCTTCTTTTCCTAAGACTTCTGCAACATTTCACGAATGGATGTGCCGAAAGCATTGTTTAGCACTGTGCTGAGGAATGCTTACCAACTCTCTCCGATACAATATCTAATGAAACAATAGCCACCGGTTTAATTTTTTTTTTGCTCCAAAAGATTTATTACTATGCACAGGTTTGCACCAAGCTCGATTCGAGGGCACAACACTTTTGTGTCCACTCCACAATCAAAATATTATTGCCTCGTGAAAGAAAAAATACATCACAATTCTTCCAGTGCAATAAAGGCAAGACAAAATGAGTTGACCTTTTTTATGATCGTTCACTCACACTAAACTTCACACCCATGCACATATTATCTGCATGCAACCTCCATAATGAAGATGTTGGGATGATAATTTGCCAAATTCTTGAAAACATCATATATTGTCTCTCTGACTCGTAACATTTATTAACTCATTCAGGTACAACACCACCCAGATAAAGACTCTCAACACTGCTGAAAGAAAAATACGATCCCCATGCCTCGTTGGGTAGTTGAAATCATCACTCCGTGCGCAGCATCACGCAACCTAGGGAAAACGAGCCATCCTTGCTGCTCTGCCAGTCATACCAGCCAGGGGATAATGTTGAGAAGATCAGTGCAACTGCCATCTGCTGAAAGGGGTAGAAAAACAAGCAAACTGAAGCCAGAGTGGTACTGTATAGATAGGTATGGTGCCTGGAATGCATCTCCGACTGGTGTGTCTACTGTGTCCAAAGAAGTAATCCCTCAATTTCTGCCCGGTGCATCATACAAGTGTCATGATGTCGCCGGTCGCAATCCTGGCGGTGTCCCAGCAGCGGTGGTTGATGTGGCAGACGCCTGTTCTACTGCAGGTCGCTCTACAGTTCGACAGTCCACTGAAGCTTCAGCATCCAGTAGTTGGGACGCCGTGACGACAGCGACACTCGCGTTCGCCTCGTGGTACTCGCAGCTGCTCTTTAACGTTTCAATGGCCAACCGCCAGGATCGCAACATGCAACAGCGTGACACTTCGGCTTCCGTGACGTCATTTGTTGCCACTTTCGGACCACTTTTGATGTACGGGCAGCAAAGGACGCTAAACACACCAGTCTAAAACTTGCTCCAGGCACAATACTCGTCGGGTAGTTGAAATTATCACTCCGTGCACAGCATCACATAACCTAGGGAGAACGAGCCATCCTTGCTGCTCTGCCAGTCGTGCGAGCCAGGGGGCGATGTTGAGAAGATCAGTGCAACTGCCACCTGAAAGGGGTAGAAAAACAAGCAGACTAAAGCCAGAGTGCTACTGTATAGGACCCCCCTTCCTCGTGGCACCAATGAAATGGGGATAATACGTATGTTGCACGGAGTGCACATTTTCAAACTTTTGAGCACATAGTGAGCCACAGTTCATTAATCACAATCAGTCATTTTTAAATTTCCTAACTGAAATGCTTTGTCTAACTGATGTTTATGACTAAATTGAAAATAAATATGATATGATTTATGCTTTGCTTGGGCATAATGACCTAAACCTGAAGCAGTGGAAATAAGATAAAGATGAAGCTGGAGTATGCAAAGCGACCATCCATTTCATGTGTACACCTCCCTCCATCCTCGTCTTGTTTGCATTTTCGTGATCTTCTAAATCATTAAGGGATCATGCTTTTTTTTTTTATTATTTTACAAGTTATTTTCTCTTTGATTCTTGCATTTCTAAGTGGCATGTCTTGTGAATGCTGTGCCTTGCGTGTTTCTTTCCCCAATGAAAATAGCCGTTCTCTTTTCTTGATTGTCTTTAGAACTAATGTGAACCCTGTGCTAAAACTATGGTGGAACGTATTGCTTCCTCTGTTTCCGTTTCATTACTCGCTGCACCCTCAAAAATGCATGAGCCTCAATACTGCTCTCCCACTTCCGAAATAAAAGAATTTGAATGGCTGCAACTTGTACATTAGCCTCCTTGTTTGTCTTGTAATCATGAAACACTGCCGACATAAAACCTGCAAATAGGGAATGGCTCAAGCTTTCGACAAACAAACATACAGACCAAAGCTGCTTATTTAGATACATATCCCAACATGCGGCACTGACGGGCAAACACAAAATAATTTTCTGGAGGTGGCGCTGCGTATCTAGAGGCCCTGAAAGACTCCAAGTTTTGTTTACAGAGAGCTGAGATGCTAAATTATAAAACAAAAATCATTCTCACCAACCTCGTATAGCCTACAGCAAATGCTGCACATACATTTGGCAGTTGAGGAAAATGGAAGGAGCGCAAGCTTGTGCTTATATCTAGGAAACAACTGTGCCGGTGAACAAATTATCTCCCAGTGGTCCACATTGAGTGCATTTCAGTCGTCAGTTTAAAATTGTGCACAAATACCGTAGAAAGGAACAGAGGAGAGAGAAGAGACAAGCACAGCCTGCAGAAACAGCTCAAGCCGAGGTCACACCGGCCTCGGCTCGAGCTGTTACTGCAGGCTGTTCTTTTTTCTTCCGGCCTCGGCTCGAGCTGTTACTGGAGGCTGTTCTTTTTTCTTCCTTCAATACATCGAATTGTGAGTTTGTGCTTGTCTCTTCTCTCTCCTCTGTTCCTTTCTATTTGTGCACAAATTTAACCATGTTCAATCATTACCAACTCACCCAACCAACCACCTTAATTCAGTCATCAGGTTTTCAAGTTTATGCAAATTTTCATAGTCACTAAACAGCCTTCCCAGGGTGCTTATATATTTCCAAGTTTAGACGTTGTGCGAGTCGTCAGCTTGTGAATGCAAACTAGTGCGTCACAAGCTTCATAGATGTGTGGTGCAGAAAAAAAACAATGTGACGAGGACACGAGAGGAGGGCCATGGTCGTAACAAAAACGGCTCGGGTCATAAATGACTTCCTATTAACAATTGTAATGGTGCGAGCATTTACTGCCATAGATAAAGATGTTCGAGCAGCCAAATAAACACGGCACTGAAGAGTACAGTAACTAACTGATGGTTGTCGCCGAACTCGACAAACGATCAGGGTGTCACAGTTGTCTTGAAACAGTCTGGCATACGTTTTTATGAACAGGTAGAATGTCTAGCCATACTGAAACATGCCATACCGATCTCTGGAACAGTTCGTCGCATGCAGACTTGGGCAGCCACAACTTTTCAATCAGTGAAGCAACTGCAGCTCTGAGACATGGTTGCACAGGTGGAAGAGCGATGAGCGGCCTTCCACATTCAGACGACAGTAGGCCATAAAAGCAAATTTCTGCAGTCACGTCAGCGGGAAGAGATGCTTTCTGCTGTTAGTCCACTCGCTTGCAGCATTGCTAACACTGATGTGGTGCTCCCAGGCATCATGGTCATTAATTTATGAGAAGACAATGGGTACCGACCTGTAATGCTCAATAGACATTTAACAGGAAGTCGCCCAAGCCCTAAAGTGCCCTTTTACGACACCAAATACATGCAGCTGCATTCAACAGCTTGAGCGCTTTACTCGTGTCCTCGTTACTTCGTCTTCCTCCTGCTCAACAGAGGGTTCCCCTTCCTACCAGTGCACCGTTGGCTGCAGCAGCACACTTACTCACTGTAGATGGAGGGCACATCACTGTGGACAGGGGGCACAACATGACAATGCTCGTTTACTTGCCTGGAAATTATGTCCAGCCCAGACCGCATTTACTGGCTGACAAAGCAGTCCCCTTCCTAAAAAAAAGAAAAGTTTATATAAGGCACTTATAAGAAATATACAAGATGTAACCACAAAGCTAATATTTCCTAAGGTGCTACTCCTGCTCCTGGACATTATCTTTAGGAAGGAGACTTCTGAAAATCATATAAAATGGTTTGACTTCAATCCATGACTGTCACAAATGAGAGAGTGGCAGCGTCGAGACTATTTACAGCCGAAACGATCAAATAGAAATTAGAAAAATTACAGTTTCAAAGAGAGCTATCTTGATTACAAAAGGTGAACAACCCTGCCTCTGCGCACCAAACATCAGTGACAGTTCCACCGCCTCATGAACAACATGTTCCGGGCCTGAGTTTTTGCCCGCGAAAGGCCGACGAGGTAAACATAGCTGCGAAAACTATGATGCCCGGTAGCTACTTCCTGGTTTCGATCACCGAAAGCACAGGCACCGCGCCCAACGCTTTATGTAGTGGCGCCCATTAAAACAAGCCTTTATAGAAACATGTAAGCAACACAAAATAACGTTTAAAACAGCCGAAAGAGCGCTTAGGCCAGGCCGCATAGTTTCCAGTTTACATATCCGAGTACTACGCCGCATAGTTTGCATTAAGGAAATGTTGTAAAAACACTTACCTGCTTTGAGCACCGCTTCAATTCGTAGTCATTTTCCTTCCGCATCGGGAGTTACAAGCGCTTTTTCGTTACTAGAGTCCCGTAGGAAGATCCTATGAGGATTTTAAACTTTCTCGTTGAGGCGTGTGGACACGGCACCGGAGTCGGCCACTCACTCGAATACCTTTTCATTCTTGTTGAACCCAGATAAGCATTCGTTTCTCGTCTTCAGTGAATCCTAGTTCAAGCTTCTCCCGAGTTTTCACAATGAAGGAGACGTCGAAACTCACATGACGCCAAATATGTCCACAAGCGAGGGACGCCAACGAGCGAAACGAAAAGAAAGAGGCCAGGAGCCATCGCTCAAATTGAGCCAACGTTGCTAGACGGAAAAGCGCATTTGTCTAGAAAACGCGTACAAGGTTAGTTTCGAAACCTGCGAAACAGCATCTTTCACGATTTGCGTTTCGTAAAGACATGCTATGAAGAAAATTTTAAGAAGCAACTTCTTTTTGACGTGTGAAACTCTTTTTAAAAGAAAAATTGCAACCTAATCTCGCTCCCAGGCGGGGAGCAGCGCGAGCGCTCGCGACTTGAACGGGACTTGACGAAGGAAGTTCGCGGGAGCGTCTATGAAACGTAAAAGCCAGCTTGGGCGTTTTCAAGTCGAACCTGGTGTTGAGGCGGACTTGAGCAAGTCGAAGTTCGGCTTCAGTTGAAGTCACATCTATGAATTCGGGGGTCAGTTTACGACAACTTAGCTAAGAAGTTCGTAAGTTAAGAACATCGTGAGAAGAGGAGAAATCGGTAGTCACGAACGCGTTCGTAAGTGAAAGGGGAAAAGCGACGTTCTTGTACGGAAAAACTGGAACTTACCGGTACTGTTGCTACGGCGACGGCGTCTTCGGCAGCACGAACAACCAATCGGAGAGCTCGGCATGGTTCGGAGCAGCTCGGAGCACGTGGATTTTTAATAACAAACACAGGCGGCCTTTCCGCCACCGCTTGTCTGGGGTTCGTGTCCGCGCAGTGATATCTTGACGCTAACACGATTTAAACGCGCTTGAATGGCGAGGCCGGGATGCGTAACCGCCTCCGTTCACTGCTACGAACTCGATCGCTACGAAGTCAACACAGATGTCATCGTTGGTAAAAGACGGCCCGTGCCAGTCGTTCGCAAAGCGACGTAGATGGAAACAAATCGGCGCGGCGTTTTTCGCTGCCTCGGAGATGCAGGAGCGAGCCGAAGTTAAAAAAAAAAAGATAAGTTTGAACTACGAGAGTGTCGGCAAGAGCCACGTAAATACCTGTACCAGTGGACGCGCGCGTTTGATTGAAGTGCTTGATTCGCGCTTCGGGACCGATCTTTTACGATTCGAACTCGATACTGACGTGACACTCGGCAAAGAAAGGTTGGACCGCCATTGCCTAGCTCCTACGAACTGTTATAGCTCAACAGTGACGTGCAATCCTGTCAGAATAAAAATTGCATACTAATAACAAAGTGTACATACCGTGTTGTGAAGGTAATTCATACGTCGTTCATTTGACCTCTATATCACACAAAACAAGGATATAGAATCGATGACAGCCCCTTTTCGACAACAGCGTTCGTCACGGACCCCTCGGAAAACAAGGAGATGACCGAGAGGAGAGATTGACCTCTTAATATAAAACTGAGGTTAGCGATCAAACTATAATACGGGAAGGATCCACAAGGGTCGCGCGGGCGCGTATTCCATTCAGCAAGCCAGCCGGTCGATGGCAGACGGTCTTGGCCAAGGACCGTCGGAGCAACGGTGCGCCGAGCCGGAGTGCCTGCTAGGCCTATATTCTGCCGAGCTCGCTTGGTCGGGGTCGGTGGAGTCGTGGCCATTGAAGGTTTTCCCGGGTGTTTGTGGATCCAGCGTTCTTGTTCGTCGTAGTCGGTTTCAAGTACTTTTTACTTTTTTCTTGCTGCTTGAATCGGGACACGCAAGAAGAGCACGTAGAAAAAAAAAACGTCCGTTGGTCGTCGCGACCAAGTAACTGAGGGACGCAGTCGGCTATGCTGATTTGATCGTAAAAAGTGCGTAAGAGAGCTCCGAAGCTGTCGTAGAATTCCGTCATAACCTGCGCAAAACGTACGATATTTTTGTTTCGTGAATACGAAATTGTTCTTACGTTTTGTCTTAGCACATTTTTGGCGTAAGATTGTTTCGTGAATCTGACCTCTGTTCTCTGGATTTACGTATGCAGCGCATATAACCAAGCCGGAAACAAACAAAATAGCCTCAAAGCACGCCGTCAAGTATAAGCCTGCAGCATAAAGCTTGCATTTTCATTGTTTTCATCATCAAAATAAAGACAGGTAAGTTGTTTTTTGCTGAGGCGAAATTCTTGTTCCCTGGTCCAGTCTTGGAGCTGTTTCGCTGGATGATACCTCAGAATGCAAGATTCAGTGC